CATAGTACATCATATGTTTGTCTGATTCAAAATGGCCAAAACCAGTCCATTTCAGCTCACTAATGCCTAGGATATCAATCTTTATGCGTTCCATTTCATTTTTGACAAGTTCCAGTTTTCCTAGATTCATACTTCATACATTCCATGCTCCAATTATTAATGGATGTTTGCATCTGTTTCTACTCATTTGGATTCATGCCACATCAGCCAATGGAGGTCCTGAAAGCTTTACTCTATCCATATTGTTAAGGTCGTCTCTGCTGTGAGGAGTCAGCTCTTCCCCAATCAAATTTTGAGTGCCTTCAGACCTGATAGGCTCATCTTCTGGCATTCTATCAGACACTGTTTCAGGACTATTTATAAAGTTTTCTAGTAATATATCAGACAGTATTTCACTGCTATTCATAAGGTTTTCACTGACCAATTGTTTGAGAAGTGGATGGCTGGCCTCTTCCTTCTTCCGAGTCTGTCTCAGCCCAGAAGCTCTGCTGAAACCTCTACACCACGGGTAACCCTGCTGGCATTTTACAACACCAGTGGCACAGCCTCCAGCTCCGCGGGACATAAGCCACCACAGGACGACAAACAAGTTCATCTCCCCTAGTTGTTCCTGACCCCTCTGAGCCCACCTACCTCAGGCCCCAGCCTTAAAATAGAGCCACCCCTAAGTGAAAAGCAGCCCCCAAGCCCCATACCCCTACTTTTACCTACTCCTCACTTATCAACAATATCATTATCTGTTGTTTCAAATTTATGACAACAGTAAAAAAATCTACTGGATTATCTTGCATATTAATGATGTATGTCTAGCAGTAACAAATGCTGAGGTGTGAGTCTACAGTAATGCTGGCTAGATGGTTAAGATGATACGTCAACTTGTCTAGACCATGATTCTCAGTGGTTTTGCAGTTATATAATGATGTGGTCATCCTTCATTTTCGCATAACAACTTTGTCTTTGGAATCTAAACATGTTCATAAGTGAGGAGTAAATTGTATCTATATTGTGGAAATACCTATACAATGGTGTGCTGCTGTGTATTTCTTGTAGCTCCACAACAGTGGCATCCCATTGGTAACTTGAAATCAGCCATGGTAGGAGTACTGACCTCATAGAAATCAACAAATGGTACACATCAAGGTTTGCCCCACTCCAACCTCCATCGAGAGTCAACTCTCAAACACTTGTCACCGTAAGAGTCCTCCCTCAACGTTGGACAAGGTTTGATGCTGGAGAAATGAATAAAAAGACCAAAGTGTCCCTGAAGCAAAATGCTAGCACAGAAACTTCCCTCCTTCCTCACCTTTGGTTGATAAGTGCCATGACCATGACTGTGATTCCAGCTTTGGATTTAGGAACATCCCTGGTTTCCCTGTTAAGTCATCCTAACAGGAAGTTGTCTCCAGAGTCTCACTGAAATCTCTCTTGCTGTTTTTTTTTTTTTTTAACTTTTTATTGTGAGTTGGATGAAATTTTACAAAGCATATTTGTTTACAATCAGTTCATATCCATTTTGTTTTGTGACACTGGTTACATTCCCTGCAGAGCAACAGCTCTCTTCTCACTTCCTGCCTGTGGTCTCCCTTTCCCTGTGTCCTTCTTGCCTATGCATTCCTCTCCCCTATCTTTCTCTCTGTCCCAGTGCTGCTCTTCTGATCTCCCATGGTAGATTGTTCTAAAGAGTGCATCTCCCTGGGGTGTTCAGTTCCTAGGCCTGTCTATTGTTTGGCTGAGAGTTAAACCACGGCAGTGAGTTCAATTCCAGGAGTGAAGGATGATTCAGGACCACAGTCTCAGGGGTTTCACCAGACTCTATCAGAACAATAAGCCTGGTATTTTTTTTATCTAGTTCTTCTGGTCTCAGTAGGCTGAGGTTCTCATGGCCCATTAGTCCTTTGGACTAACTGTTCCCATGCGTCTTTGATTTTCTTCACTCTTCCTTGCTCTGGACAAGAAAAGACCAATAGATGCCTCGTAGATGGCCACTTGCAAGTTTTGAAGACAGCCATTGCTACTCACTGAAGTAAGATGTAGAACAATATTTCTGTATACCATGTTGTGTCAATTGAGTTTGGTGTTCCCCACAACCACAGCCCCCAGCCCACAGGCCTAGCAACTCACTCCCTCAAGGTGCTTAGTTGTGGTTAAGAAATTAACTTTGCCTCCTTTTAGCTTTAAACTCCATTTGGACATTTTTATAGCACATACAAACACATATGTAGGGATATCATCTGTCAAACCTATGTATGGTTGTGGGTATATTCCCATTTGCCTGTCCATACACAATCTTCTTGTCTGTCTATCTATGTATCCACCTATAGATTAGTGTTTGCTGTTACTGACGACGCAACATTGTGTATGCAATAGTATTGGCCTTTATTATCTGTACCTCTTGTGCACCTCCCCAAGTCTTCCTTTTCCTTACTGATACAGTGCTAGTCACATGCTTTTGTTGTATTGCTTTTCCCTTCACTCATTATCAAACCTGTCTCTTAACTATCTTCTCTTGCTGTGTGTGTGTGTGTATGTGTGTGTTTTTAATGAGCTTTCCTTGCCTAAGGGAGCTCTAGTGGTGTAGTGCCTAAGGCATATGACTGCTAACCAGAAGGGTGGAGGTCCAAACCCACCAGCCACTCCCAAAGGAAGACTGGGCAATCTACTTCCATAGAGATACCACCTGGGAAACCCAAGGAGGGGTCGCTATGAGTCGGAAACAACAGCAGTGAGTTTGGTTTTGGTTTCTTCCTAGCCTGAGCCTCACTATCCTTACCCCTCAAATGAAGGCCAAATCTGAACATGGCTCCCTGGCTTTTGGAATGGGGAAGATGATGTCACAACACACCCTATATGGCCAGTTCACTGCCCAGCTCCTCACCACTTGCCAGGAGACTGATCTGGAAGCTCCTCAGAGAGGGCCCTCTCAAAGTCATCCTATTAGGTCTCTTATCTGCGGGCAAATGTGTACCAGGCCCTGTGCCCTGCTAAAGATCTAACCATCCGTGAACAAGTCACCTTATTAAACATACACACATACATAGTTCCTGCTGATTCCAGCTCACAGTAACGCCATGTATGTCAGAGCAGAACTGTGCACCACAGGGTTTTTAAGGCTGTGACCTTCCAGAAACAGATGATCAGGTCTTTCCTCCAAGTCACCTCCGAGTGGGTTCTAACCACCAACAGTTCAGTTAGTATTCAAGAGCTTAATCATTTGTGCCAACCACGGACCCCCTAAGTCACCTTATTGGTGCTCATAAATGTGGCCACATAAATGAAGGAACAGATGTTTCTGGAGTTCTCTGCTCCCCTCATAGTTTAATCCCCTCACCTATCCCCAAGGAGGCCCCTGTCTCCTCATCTCCAAGACCGTTGTCCCTGGCTTCCTTTGTCCAATCATTTCACCTTTCTTTACCCAATCTTGACCAGCTTCTGCTCAAAAAGAAAAGAGCCCAAGAAACCAGGAAGAGTCTGGGCTCTCACCAGGCAGGTGCCTGGGCAGTGTCAAGTAGAACTGAGAGATCCTGAACTACTATGCTCTTCAGAAGGCTCTCGACCCCTAGACCACACCCACCTCCAGTTGTGTACCTGTTGCTGCCATCCTGCATGGACTACAGCCACTTGGTCCACTAGAGGAAGCTGTCGTGGGATGTGCTGCCTGGGATTTCCTAGGAGTAGAACTTGTACTAAAGGATAAAAGCTACATGGGGGCAAAAATTGGGTTCAATTGAAGAAATATGTCTCTGACAGTCAGAGGCAGCATGGACTGCTTTGAGAGGTAGTGAGCTGCCACTGGATGTACTCAAGAACAAACAGATTGGAAGATTTTTTTGTCAGAAATGTATAAGGAATTCAAATAGAGAAATAGCTTCATGTCCCTGTACTCAAACATACTGGGATCAAATCCTGAATTTAACTACTTTTGTCACGATACCTGATCCCGTTGAGGCTCAGTTTCTTTATCTGTATAATGTGGACAATGCACAACCTCACAGAATTAAAGTAATTATTAAAACAAAACATATGAAAGCACCTGGCATTCAGTAAATGTTCAATAAATGGTAATCCCCTTTCCATCAAAAGGGGGTTGGGTTAGATGACCTTGAAGATCTTTGGACCCCAGAGAGTATGATTGTAATCCTTCCTGGCTGCTGAGAAAGAAGGCATGCATCTGAGTGAGATAAAGCAGCGTTAGGTCGATGAAGAAAGGCTGCTGAGTGTGGGAAGGGAATATTCAGAGGTCATCTCTGTCCACCTCCTGTTTCCCCTATTCTGACCTTCTGCAATGAAAGAGAAAAGCAGGATTCTGGATTTCAAGTCCAGCCTGAAGGTAGCATAGTGCCTAAGGCACTTGACTGCTACCCAGAAGCCTGGCGGTTCAAACCCACCAGCCAGTCCTCGGAAGGAAGGTTAGGCAATCTACTTCCATAGTAATACCGCCTCGGAAACCCAAGGAGGGGTCTCTATGAGTCGGATCCGACTCCACGACAGTGCGTTTCGTTGTTTGTTGAGGGGTCTCATTTTTCCCATCTGTATAGTGAAGGAGGAAGATAAGAAGGTCCTTTCCAAATTAGACACCTTTAGATCGAAGAAAAGGGAAGAGAGGAGGCAGAGATGAGGCGGCGCAACGCCCCCAATCCCAGAGCGGGATCCTCTCAACCCATACCCCAAGCCCAACCTTCCTCGGAACCACAGCCACCTCAGTCTCAAGTCATACAGTTTCTTTATTGTGCTAACACTGCTGCCTCGGAGCTCAGATCTCACACAGAGACAATTCAGTCCAGACCCCCACCCCACCTGGCCCCCGGGGCCTTCTGCCTTGGCTGAGGACTGCGGACCTACCGCTCGGCCGCTCTCCGACACTGACTCTGCTTCCTATTCCCTCCCTCCCCCGGAGCCTCGCAGCTCCGGGGATGCGGGCAGGGCTCTGGTTGGTCTTTCTCTGCTCTCCTCTGTCCCCTCCCACTTTCGGAAGAAGGCTCTGCCTCCAGCCCCTAGCGGATCCAGCCCCTAGCGGCCCGGATCAAGTGAGGTTGCAGCCGGCCGAGCGAGTCCCGAGCTGCAGGCAGAGGCCCGCCCCTTCTCCCCGCCGGGGCGCAGCCCGGAGCGACGCGCGCGCTCACACCACCAGACCGTCCTTGCAAGGTAGCGGCCCCGAGGCGCTCTCGGCGGGCTCGGCGCTCTTGACCTTGACGTACACCGGGGAGGGGCCCGCTTCGCAGGCGGCTGTAGCTATGGTGGTGCAGGGGGCCAGAGCCACGTCCTCCGGGCCGCCGCAGGGCGGAGGCGCGTACTTGCGGCGCAGGGAGCGGCTGACGTTCTGCGTCGGATACCCCAGGAGGTGGGTGACGCGGCTGCCGCGCCCGCTGGCCTTGCACCCGGGCGCCACGGCGTCCTCTCTGTGGAAACAACAGGCGGGCGGGTGAGCGGGCTCCTCCACGGCGCGGCGTGGGCACGGCCTGGGCAGAGCTGGGGGCTCTTGGCAACCTCTCGTCTCCCGCGCCTCCCTCCACCTGCCCTTCGCCTCTCTCCATCGGTCTCGACCTACTCTTCTCTCTGCTCCTTCCTGAGCCGGCGATCCCGCAGCGATCTCTGGGACAACCATCCCCAGGCCTCCAGACAGGACTTGTCAACACCTGTCCAGACTGCCCACGGCAGTCAGCCCATGCAGGCGCCCTCCACTTCCTTCCTGATGTTTTCACAGAACCACTGACTCTACCAAGGAGGGAGCCTTAGAGATCCGGAGGAAGCTACTTCCTGTTTTTTTGTTTTGTTTTGTTTTTTCTTTCTTTAAACCTGACCTCGCCCTTTCTCCTCTCTTCTTACCTCCCTCCCCTCGATCTTCTTCATGGTTTCCTACATCCCCAGGGCACTGCAGTTATTAGCACTGCTAGTCTTTTCTATTTTTATTTCTAGTTTGTTTCTAAGATAAGTTATTAGCACTATTCTTATTATTAACTTCTTAAATAAGCATGTCCAAAGTTCTCACCGGCGCAGTACAGAGAAAACGTGAAGGGGGGGTGGGGGAAGAATAGGCCCTGCCCTCCAGGAGCTTACAGTCTAGGCAAGACAGAGAGGTGTGTAGACAGAAGGGAAATGGAGGGCAGGGGAGCAAAGGTGAGGTCCAGGGGTGGGAAGGGAGGGAGACAGAAAAGCCATGCGGCGAGTGGCAGGTTGACATGCTGCGGTCCCAGCACTCCGTGGCGATGGCCCGCAGGGTTGGGGTGGGAGTCCCAGCCGGCCGGTGGCAGGCAGGGGTGGGGAGGGGCAGGGCGCCGGTCCCCTGCCGCACAGCAGCATGCAGCATGCATCAGGTTTTACCTGATCTCGCTAGCCATGTCGCAGGCCCCTCCGCCGACCCCGCCGCCGTCGCGGTAGCCGAAGGCACCGCGGCTGCCGCCAGCCCCGGAGCCCGCGCAGCAGCAGCAGATGAGCCCCCAGATGCCCATCATCACGCAGGCCAGCATGAGCAGAGAGCCTATCACGGCCCCAATGATCATGCCTACACGCTTGGAGTCTGTGGAGAGAAGTGGAGATTGGTTAGGCTTTTCCACAGGAAACGCCAGGGCAAAGGGTCTTCAAGAAAGCGGCAGAGAATCAAGGGCCCTGGGACACCCAATGAGCAAGACATGGGAGATGCAAGTTAACCCTTTATGTCTGCATGTTTCTGCCAAGGCTTCCCACCTGTGGCCTGCTGGGTTAGGAAAGCAGAGCCAGCTAACGCTCTGAAATATAGCTGGGGCCTCCAGTCCAACCCTCCCAGACACAGCCCAGTGGGGCCGCTGCACCTACCTGAGACTTTGACCTCCACCACGCACACACTGTAGCCCACATGGTTGGCCACTGTGCACTGATACAGCCCGTCATCCTCCTTAGAGATGTCCTTCAACACCAAGTCCCCATTGTTCAGGCCTGAAACTAAAGGAGTGGCAGAGGACTGTAGTGGGGTGGAGAGGTGTGGTCTCTGAGAGCTCTCATCCCAGCCAAGGCCCCTGTGGGTGGGAATGTGGGACAACCCCTCTAGAGGAAGAGAAGATGTTCACTCATGAACATGAATACACACACACACACACACACACAGGTCCACTCCATTTTCCAGATAAGTCACCTTTCTGCTGAGGCAGAGAAGCAAGAAGGAAGGACTCCTCTCCCAGCAACAGGACAGAGACACCACTAATTGACTCTGTGACCTTAGGGTAATTGGGGCCCCTCTCTAAGCCTTGGTCTCATTTATACAATGAAGACAGAGTTAGTCCTCTGTCTCTGATATTCTTTGTTTGATTGTGATACTAAGTTTCTCTATGAATGAGGAAGAGCTCTGGTGGCATAGTGCCTAAGGCATATGACTGCTAACCAGAAGGCTGGTGGTTCAAACCCACCAGCCACTCCTCAGAAGGAAGATTGGGCAACCTACTTCCATAGAGATACCACCTCAGAAACCCAAGGAGGGATCACTATGAGTTGGAACTGACTTGATGGCAGTGAGTTTGGTTTTTGGGTTTGTGAACCAGGAGCTTTACACACCTTATCTTATTTAATCTTCACATGTCCCTGGAAGGTAGGCATTAGTATTCCTTTTTCATATATGAAGAAACAAAGGCACAGAGAGGTTAAGCACCTTGCCTCAGTTTTGCAGTCAGGCAGTAGCCCAGCCAGGACTCAAGCCCAGCTCTTGTCTATTTCAGACTGTTTTATTATGAAATTAACCATAATGCCTCCTCTTCTTCCCTCAGTAACAACTGTTGGGACAGAGGTCTCTCACAGAGGCTTCAGGTTTGACTTGGTGATCACCCAAGAAGCCCCACAGGCTTCCAGAGTACCTAATCTTGCATCCATTCATCTCCACCCACCACCCTCTACCCCATTTTCCAGATAAGACCCCTGGTAGTCCCCTCACCTTGGTTCATGGAATTGTGAAAGGACTCTTGGTAGGAGAGCTCAGAGTGGAAGCTGTGCTGGGAGTGGTAGGACCCAGCACGGTAGGGGTGGGTGTGCCCACTGATCTTGGCCCACTTGTAGGACAAAGGCGGGGTGCCCCCATTGGCAAAGCACTTCAGCACCACATCGTTGCCATGTGTCATATGACCCTCAGTCCAGCACATGGGCACCGCAGGCCGTGCTGCAGGGAAACAGGTAGATGGGAGCCAAGGCCCAGCCAAGAGGCAGAGCCAGGCTCAGGGTAGTCCAGCCGCCCTTGGCTCTGACATCAGAGGGAAGGGAGCCCAGAGGAGTCAGGCCATACCTTGGACAGTGACGATGACCTTTCTGGAGGCCATCGTGGTCTTCTTCACACGGCACTCATAGGTAGCTGTGTCAGACACCTGCAGGTTCATGAGGTTGATGGAGGCATCGTACTGGCTAGGGTCTGAGGCTGCAAAGCGGACCCTCTGCTGCAGATGAGGGAGATTGCCGTGGTTGATCCTCTTGTCCTGGTAACTAAGGAACTGGAAAAAAGAAAAACAAATGGTAAGGCAAGCAGAGCCAAGAAGGGTCATATGAGTTGGCTGCTCTGGGCAATTCACCGAACTATTCTGAGACTCAGTTTTCTCTGCTAGAAAATGGGACTGACAAGGCCTGATCCAGTGACACCTACAGAATATATGAAGATCAAATGAAATTCAGCACTTTGGAAAGTATAAGGTCAGACTGCAAACCTGTGGACAGGGACCATATCACCTCTTCCCCTTGGACGAGGGTGAGAGGAGATAGACTGTCTGACAGAGCTCTCCTCCCTATTACCCCACTCTGTGAGGACTTGGGGTAAGAGCGGCCCAAGTCTGGGTTGGCTGCCCCATGGGTAAACACCCTGAAGTGTAGGGTAAGGAGAACCCAATGCCCATCACTTACCACATTCTCCCGATGTGAGGGGTCTGCATTGACCTGCATCCACTCAATGTCCAGCCCATTGGGACCATAGTCCTCAGGATCCAGGATGTAGGGGCAGCCTAGCCTCACGTTATCACCTTCTGCCAGGTACAGGACCTCTTGGCCATCCCCATTGATCCGCACAGCAGACAGCAGTGCTGGGGGAAGGGTAGTGCAGATGGGGTGAGGGGGGTAGAACTAGGACTTGGGGAGTCAGCCCCAGCCCGTCTCTCTGTCCACCATTCTTTTGTCAGCTGCAACCTGGGGTTCAATGAGACTTCTACAGGGAGAAAACTTTCCTCTGAGGATGTGTATATGTGTGTGCATGAATTGGTATATGCATGAATGCACATTTGCACACCTGTATATATTTTATGATTATATAGGATTGCATCTGAATATTGTTTGTGTATATATAGCTATTATTTACACATGTATATATATATGATTATATGTATACATACAGGAATAGGTACACATATGTACATTGTATATTATGAGTAGTTGTGGCTGCTTATGTGTACTCTAAAGAATATGCATGCAACTGACCAGGCAGCATGCCTACTATATGTACATGATGATGCAGGAGTGATTGTGTGTGTGTGTGTGTGTGTGTGATGGCATATGGAGCATACAAAAAAAAACAACTCACTGCCATCGAGTCGCTTCCAAATCATAGTGATCCCTCCAGGGGTTTCTGAGGCAGTGTCTCTATAGAAGTGGATTGCCCAGTCTTCCTCCCAAGGAGTGGGTAGAGGGTTTGAACTGCCAACCTTCTAGTTAGCAGTCAAATGCCTTGGCACTACACCACCAGAGCTCCAGAGTTGTTAAATTCTCTGATAGAAGAGTCTGCCTAGGTCAAGTGAAGTTTTCCTATCTGAAGGCATGTGGCTGGACACGGTGCCCTCAAGAGTCTCTTTCCAGTCTGAGGGACAAAAGTCTGGGTGCATCTGTGTGTACCATGCATGCGAGACTGTGGGTATATCTTATGATAGTGTGTGTCTGTAATGCCTATGTGTGGCCATGTGTGTGATATGAGACCCTGTGTGCCTACAACAGTGCCTGTGGCCTTAGGGATAGTGTATCCCTGTGCATGACTGTGAGCAGCCATGACCAGAAGCCAGGCCATGTTCCTATGTGATAGTGAGTGATGGTCTTGTGTGACTACACATGGCAATGTGGACTGTGTCTTTTCCTTGTATGATCATGTGGCTCAGGTGCAGCTCCCCCACATTCTCTCTCCTACCTGCAGCCCCTCCCCACACTGCTCAGCACCCCACTGAGTCAGTGAGCTCCTCAGCCACTGGACATTGCCATGCACTTTTATGGATGGCAACAGTTTCTGTGGGCTTCCCTGATGGACAGCAGGTAAAGAGCCAGGATTCTGAAACTCAGAACTGAACTCTTCTCCCTCCCTATCCTAAAGCCACAGGTAAGCACTAGCCTCAACCGGTTGGACCCACAGAGGGAGTTGTGCCCATGGCCCCACCCTCGGCATGCAGAGCTCTGCCTCCCAGTCTCCTGCAACTCTCACTTCTGGACCCCTTACCCTGTCAGGCTCTCTTCTGCTGCATTCTTTGTAGACAGTCAGCAAGTCCCTGGGAGTCCCAGTCCCTCAAGTCTCAGCAAGTCATTCTGCTCTGCCCTTCTCTGGCTCTCTCCTGGTACCACATTCACACTTAAAGAGCATCTTACATACTTGCCAACCAAATCAGTGCAAAGACACAAGTGTTCAAAATGCACAGACATACCTATGCAGACACATTTTCTACACACATACACACACCGAGTCAGATCCATATAAACAGACAACGTATCTGCACACAGACACAAATACATCTACTCCAGAAGACACACCTACTGCAAAATCTCATAGTCCACATGTGTCTTCACTCAAGACCAGACATAGAGGCAGAAGCCCTGCCTGGAACACTTGGCTTGCCTCGAGAGACACCAGTAAGGACCCCTCCAATGCCTCCAACCCAAAGCGTCACTGAACTTGCTCCTCAGATCTCTGGCTGGGTATCAGCCATGCCCTAACCCTGCTAGGCTCCAGAGCAGTCAGGCCGGTGGCTCTAACGGACCTGGTGATGCCTCTTCTAGCCCTAGGCCAAGAGAACACCAGCTCATTCCTGAGATAAGGATCCTGATGCTATCTGCCGGATCCTGGGGCAGCACACAGCAAGCCAGGGATGAAGCCAAAACTCAATGCAGAGCAACAACTCCACCCTGGGGAAGGACTGCTGGAAGCGACTTACAACACAGAACACTTTCTTTCCCAAGCCATGCAGACCAGCAGGCAGGAGGGGAAGGATTTAGAGAGAGAGAAGCCTGAGGAGGAAGGGCTAGGGTTGGAAGAAAGAAGCCTCCACCCTGCACCAGGCTGAGTTCTTCAGTTGTCTCAGGCCAGGGAGCCTCACCCCAGCTCTTCAATCTCCTTAGAAGCTTTCTCAACCTCCTCTCAAAGGTTCTAGCCTTTCCCCACTCCTCAGTCTGCTTGAAAAGTTCTTCTTGGTATCTCACCTTGATTCCTCTTGCTGTGGCACGGGGGAAGTACTTCAGGGAATGTGAGAGAAGAGAGAAGCTGTGGAAAGGGAAGAAGTCCAGAGTGGAAGAGAGAGACTTGGGAAGAAGAGAGGGACTGGGGAAGTCACAGTGGGTTCTCTGAGGAAGAGGACAGTGGGGACTAGCTATCTCCCCCAGAGACAAGCACTAGGGGTTGAACTGAGGAAGAGATTTTAAGCTGTTCCTAGAGCTCTTAACTCATGTCTGGAGGAAAGAGAGGGAGAGAAAGGAGGAAAGGGGGCAGCTCCCACCGGAGGATATTGGTACATAAATACACTTAGCTGTGAGCCTTCCTCACACACCCACAGACATGCCACACACATGGAGATATCCCAAATCCCCACATCACAATCAGAGCTTGCTGAGTGAGCTCTATCTACCAGCTCTGCCATCTGGGCTCCCAAACAGACAGAGTGTTGTAGCCTTCCTACCAGAGAGGCAGTCTCACAGACACACACACACAATCGTGTGCAAACAAAAAGTACTCCCTCTTTCCAGGCCCTCTTCCCCAATGCCTTCTCACCCCAAGTCCAGACAGACCCCAGAAAGACTCAAAGCCATTTCCAGCAATGCCCACACAACACAGCCTTTGTTGGGACTTGCCCCAATCTGGGCAGGCAGCCACAATGTCCAAACCTGAGCCCTACCCTCAAGGAGTGCCCCAGTGGGGCTAGGGAGATCTGGGAGTTTCTCTCCCCACCCTTCTCCACCTTCATCCTGGAGGGGTGTTCCCCTGGTCCTCTCAAAGCACCAAGGGCCCAGCGTGGGGTCTCAGGCCTGAACTCTCACTGGCCATGATGGAACCACCCACACAGACCCACCCCAATGCTAATCCCAACGCTGGCTGATCACTTGCCCTTTCAAGGCAAGCAACTCCCCTGCCCCTTGGCTCTGAGCAAGGGGAGGTTTCACACTGGGAATAGTATACAGATGATCTGATGAAAATTGATCCTTCCCAGGCTCCTCCTCAGCCTTCACTCAACTGTGCTGGTGGAATCACCTGACTCTCCTACCCCACCTCCATTCCTGCAGGTAACTCCAGGCAAGCCATGTCCTCCCCATTTGCAGGCATGTGCATGTAGGGCACCTGCACATCTAGGTGTGCCCAGGGCTTATGGCCCCTCACCCACAGACACATGCCCCAGACCTTCAGGCACAGGGCTGTCCTGGGGAGAGGCCCCATGGGCAATAATCCAAACCAGGGTGACAGCAGGACCAGGGTAGACAGAACTACCCTACCAGGACATCTCAGACCACCTTCAAGGCCCCCTGGTGAGCGCCTCAATGAGCTCCTGCCCATCTTGCCTCCTGCCAGGCTTCCCTACCCGCTGCCCAGCCCCATACCTGGGCTCAGGCACACGAGTAGAAGGTGGAAGGCGCCTCGAACTCCCATGTCTAGGCTCGATGTTTCCTCCGCCTGGGCTGGCTATCCCTGGGGATGGTGGTGGTGGTAGTGGTAGTGGGTGTGAGGGGGCAGGTGGAGGGAGGGGGAGCTGAGGGCCCAGACACTGCCTGGGGTGGCAAGAGGGTGAAATGAGTGCCAGGCCAAGGAGCAGCGGAGTTATTTTTATGGGAGGGAGGGGGCCTGGACCCCGCCTTGGGGAGGAGTCCCAGGAACCCTAATTAGCGGGGTGACAGGGTGGCCTACCCAGGCATTACCCAGCCCTCACCCAAGCTCTTCCCTGTCCCAAGAATGGCGCAGGGCGGCCAGTGGGACTTGTAATTAGGCACCTGTTAAACCTCCACTTCCTCCTGGCCTCATCCTCAGGGTGACAACAGTCGCCCCATTTTACAGCGTCCACTCCCCTCACCACTCATTTGTTGCCTCCTTCCCCAGGGGAAGCGGGGAGAGGAAAGGGAAGCCAGGCTTGAGGAGTAAGGTGACTAGGCCTTGAAGGATTAACACTAACTCCAGGGCACAATCATATGACACTGTCCTCATGCAAGCTCTAGCATTCCAAATCCCTGCTCCCTCCAAATATCCCTGACCCTCCAAAGGAACCCCAAAACAAAGCACAGGACCTCCAGATTGAAGTGTGTGGGCAAGAGCACCACTGAAGGGGACACTTTCCCCATTGCCGGGACCTGGAGGGAAGGATCAGGCAGATGAAAGGGACTCAAGAATGCCCAGCCCGCCTTCCCCCCAGGGTTGCTGGCCCTTCAAAGGGAGTCAAGCTTCTTAAGCTGAAAGAGGAGTAGAAAGGGTGTGTATGGGAACAGGGTCTTAACCCTGTCTGTCCCCTCTGAACCGGTGCCCCGACCCAGCCCTGATCCAAGGTCACCCTCAAGTATAGGCAATCCCTGGGAGCCAGAGAGCATTATGGGGGATTCAAGCCCAAGTCCCAACATAGGACTGAACCCAGTTCAGTTAGGCCTGAGAGGAGAGGGACCAGGGTGTGCAGAGGGATGAGGTCGCTGGATAGTGTAGATGAGCAAATTCATGTGTGAGGGAATGTTTGAGAGAATAGTGCCAAGAGAACTGGGGAGGGGTGTGCCCATATGAGTGTGAGTAAAGGAGGGTGTCTGTCTCTTGAGAGGGGCTAAGCCCCTTTGTGTGTACTTTTTTTAGGGATCACTGTGTGTTCTTGTTTCTGTACACAGGAAAGGAGACCAAGGACCCTCATAACCTGGACTGAATTATCACTGGGGTGACTAAGCCAGCCCAGTTCTAGAAAGATGGGAGAAGGGGTTCTAGAGAGTTCTGGCAGATATAGGGATACTGTGGCGGGCCAACTCTTGCTAGTTGGTCCAGAGGGTACAAGGACAGGCCTCGTGCTCTAGTACTGCCCATGCATAGCAGCGGGATCAGATCACGGATGGCCCTGTTCAGCAACTGTTGTTGTTGTTGTTATTTGCCATCGAGTCGGCCCCTACTCATAGCGACCCCTCCTTGGGTTTCCGAGGCAGTATCACTACGGAAGTAGGATTGCCCAACCTTCCTTCCAAGGAGTGGCTCATGGGTTTGAACCGCCAGCCTTCTGGTTAGCAGTCAAGTGCCTTAGGCACTGTGCCACCAGAGCTCCTGTTCAGCAACTAGACTCACTCAAAAGAGTCAAGGGCCCTTCCCCCCATCTCCCCTGCTCTGATCTGGTACACAAGAAGGCACAAGAAGGGCAGAAGGGGAGGAGTCTTTGGGAGAGTTGTGGGACTCAGAAATGCTGACAGGGCCCACCCTTCCAGGAAAAATAAGAATAATAAGGAAGCACAAGGAGTCCACGCTTTTCTGCATTCCAAACTTAACCCCCTCCCCCCGCAACACACACACACTCCCAACAATAATAGGGTGCTCTGGGGCCCACCAGATGTATATAATGAGTATCCTTATTTCCTTGTTTATTTTTAGGTTTATAGGATTGTTCTGAACCCTCTGGAGAGCAGGGATCATTATCCCCATTTTACAGATGGGGAAACAGAGGCCTGGTGAAACATGGGTATTCAACAAACATGATCCTACTGGAAGCATAGTTTTGGGTACCCAGACATCTTGACTCTCAGTCCAGAGTGGTCTAAGAAAACAGCTTGATAACCCTCTGAGTTGCTAAGTACACCCAGAGGAAAAAACATGGAAGGTCAGTAATGGGTGAAGAAGAGAACAGGTAGGACCAGCAAGAGGGAGATTGAAAAGAAGGGACTAAAGATTGTAGTTCCATTAAACTGAAGTTTAAGTTTGGTGTTTAATTGGGTTCCAGGTTTGAGCTAATGTTATAGTTGGGATGAAGGCTGGCGCTTGGATTATGTTTGGGGTTAGTTGGAATTATGAATGAAGTTGAGGTTAGATCTGAGGTTGGGACTGGAGTTAAGGTTGGGCTTAAGTTTAGAATTACAGCTAGAATTGAGTTATGGTTGTGATCTGTGTTATGATAAGGAATAGAGCTTTAGTTTCATTTACACCTATGCTTGGGAATACAGTTAGGGCTAAATTGAAAACTTGTGGAGACTGATTTAGAATTGAAGTTATAACTGGGTTAAAATTGAATTTCAGATTTGAGTTAGGATAGGCTGTGGTTAGGGTTAAAACATGGATTCAAGATATATAGGTTTCATATGCATCAAAATTGAGGTTTGCCACCATCTGCTAAATCCAGGTTTGCTTAAAATGTTCAGTTCTTAGCTCTGGAAGAATTCCGAAGACACATGTTGATTGGAGTCCCAAGATTTTGAGGAAGGGTTGAAATGTCCATGAGCCCATCTTACGGGTATAAAGTAACTTAATCCCCTAACAATTGTGACCCCTGAGATCCAACCCCACAGCCTAAGCTTCTCAACTGGTCTAGTTTCATGAAAGGCATTTGGGGAGGGGGGTGCAGCAAGTTATAAGAAGATGAGGTCCATTAGAGATGGTCTTACTGGAGTAGGGAGTGGACCTGGTTTTAGAGTGTGGGAGATGAGAATTTGGGGAGATTGAGGGCTTAGATGCTCTTGGAAGAACAGCTACTTCTAAGGGCACCACAGTGTGGTCCCTTCCTAAAGAGGCAAGGCAACATTCTTGTTCCCCTTTGACCCATTGAAGGGTAATTACCATTCCTTGCAATTTGAGGCCTATGCAGGAGCCATTAGCCTTTCTGCTCCGTGCCTGAGCACTGCAGGGTTTAGGGGGACAGTGGAAGGTAAAGGCACTAGGGTATCAGCTTAGTTTTCATAGTATGGGTCCAGCCCACAGTCCACAGACCAAGTTTCTCTCTGGGCACCCTCCACTGCCAGGAAGTGGCCTCACTGCTGGGAGGCTCCTTATTCCAACTCCTCCTTTTTTTCCCCCCTACCCAGTCTCCACCCCAGTCCCTCCCATTTCCCCGCCCACTTCCTTTTCAGGCCCCATAAAAATCCAGACAGATTCTAGACTATCATGGTTCCCTCTGTGCCTCTAGGTAGAGGTAGAGAAAGAGATTGGGAAAGAGAGTGATTAGTAAAGGGACAGAAACAGAGACTAGGACAGAGACAGACAGACACAATGGCATCACTAATGTTGGTATCATCTAGCATAGTAGTAACTCATGGTGTCATCCCCTCTCCTACGGTGGATCTCCTCTCATACCAGACCATTCAGAATACTTAACAGCCCTTTGCTACTCCCTGTGAAATCTAAGGATCAAGGATCTTCTCTCCTCAATCCAAAAAGAATCATCAGTTGTCTCTTGCTCTCTCAGTGGAGAGCAGTACCTCTTGGGCACAGCGTCAGTCTGAGTAGTAATTTGCACCTGTTCCAAGACAGAAACAGAAAATCAAAGGTAATTGGCCTGGAAAGAAATGGACATGGAGAAGAGGAGGAAAGAAGAAGCAGAACGAGGACCCACAGAAGCCCAGAAGCTGCTTCTGAGATGAGGTACAGCCCAACCCCAGAATGTTTGGGAAAGGTCAAGCAGAGATTTTAGCTCACCTACTCTTCCTCCTCAGAAAGAAGGTTGGGCAATCTACTTCCGTAATGATACTGCCTCGGAACCCAAGGAGGGGGTCGCTATGAGTCGGGTCCAACTCAACGGGGCACATTAACAACAACAACAACTCTTCCTCCAAAGTAATTTTGAACTCCACACAACTTCTGTCATCCCTACTGTCATTTGCCTGGGCCCTCCTGCTCAAACTCTTCCCCAGCCTCTCTGGGTTCAGACCTAAGCATCTCATCTCTCCTTCCAGGGTCCTGGCACTGGCACTTGACCCTTTCCAGACTCCCTCCCTACACCATCAGTAGGCTCTTTAGCCCCCTCTCCCAAGTCTCCATGGAGACCCAGGCTCACCCCTTCAACGCCCAGGAAGGTGACTAGCAACCCAGAGACTTGTCCTACAGAAAAAAGCCTCTGAGGCAAGGGTCTGGAGCAGAAGTCATGACCAGCCATGGGACAAACAACTTCATATGAAGTCTGAGAGAGGACGAACAGAGGCACCATGGAGACAAACACAAAGACGCCAAGGGGCTACTGCTGCTGCTCTCTTTCCACCTGACTTTCAGTAAAGGTTTGGGATTGGAGGACTGTCAGGTGAGGACATGGTTAGGTAAGTTGGGCTAGGGACATAGAGATGGTAAATGTGTGTGATGAGAGTACTTCTCCCTGGTGGGAGAATGCAAGGTCAAGAAAGGGTTAGAGTTAGTTATAGAGAGAGTCCTGAGTGGTACAAATGGTTAACATACTTGGCTGCTAACCAGAAGGCTGGTGGTTCGAGTCCACCCAGGGGAACCTTGGAAGAAAGGCCTAGCAATCTACTCACAAAAAAATCAGCCATCGATAACCCAATGGAACATGCTTCTACTCTGATACACATGGGGTTGTTGTGAGTTAGAGTTTACTCAACCATAACTGGTATAGAGAAAAAAATAACCCCAAAAACCAAACCCACTGTCATCAAGTTGATTCCAACTCATAGCAACCCCCAGTGGGGTTTTTGAGGCGGTAAATCTTTACAGAAGTAGATTGCCCAGT